ATTTCAAATTTTCAAATTATCCTTGTGTGTAATCCCCTTACACAACTTCACATATGTGTCTCTACCGCACAAACTTCACACTATGGGTATTTTGTAGAGACTTTTGAAAAGACAAAATTTAGCAGGAAATACGAATGCTTCTTTTTAGTGTTCGAGATACATATTTCCAAATTAATAAACCGAAAATGCAAAGGACAAATTATATTAGGGAATAATTAAATATAAATTTACTATGCATAAATATTTTTAAAGCCGTTATTGTTCATTTAATTAGGTTAGGTTTTCAGGCTTTAGAACAAATGGATGTATGTAGTATGCATGTTCGGATACAAATTTTCGTTCACGATTTCGAGAGCACGGATCAACTTATTTGAATGATCATATAGGAACAGGAAACATTTGATTCCTATTTCATTTTTATTTTATTTACAGTTTGTTTAATCGGTAAATAATATACTTATAATAATATGATGGTTTAGTGTAATAATATAAACGTAAATTATTATTATAACACTAAACCACTTGATTAGAAGCTAGTTAGCACTCCAACCAAAGTTTCTTATGAAAATAAAAAGGATTATATTCCATTTGTTTCTTTGTAATATAACTTAGAGACAAGTGAATTAAAATTTTGACAATAACATTGTATTTACTTATTTTGAGCGTAAATGAAAAATTTACAACAAAACTTAGGAAGAAAAACCAAGAAACTTTGTTTGGAGTGCGCACTATCTAAAAGATAATATTAAGAGCTAAAATTTATGGAGATTTTTTTTATTAATTTGGAAGCACCCTAAATATTTATATAATATATTCATTTTTTGCTCGACTGCATTACTATTATCGTACCCGAGTAATAATAATACTTATCTCATTTAGTCTGTTAAACTTTGCCCTCGTTTTCAAATTTCTTGTTTGCTTTTGTTTAATTACTAAATCAGTGTAGATAGTAAATAAACATTTAAGATAAGACGAATACTTGTAGATAACTACAATTTTGTATTCAGACATATCAAATTTAAATTAATACATAGTCAAGTAGTAAATAATGGGGAAAAAATTTGATTTTTATAGGTCTGTTTTCGGATAACATAGCAATCGTAATTGACAATATATATGAAATATAAAATTGATTAAAAACGTTTGTTTAAGTTTAGCAAATTTCTATTTAGTATTTAATTATATTTAAATTAATTTTGTGTGGTTTATAAGGGGGAGGGTGTGTTTGAAAAAAAAATCATGAATTATCACGCGGAGAGAGGGTTATAATAATATATCACGTGCGTTTATATTTCACCTGAATTTTTTTTAAATCCAAAAATTGTCAAAAAAAATAATAAAAAAATTATAATTTTTTTTGTAACTAAATATATGAAATATTTTGGTGGGAAAGTGGGTTAATTTTGAATATCAGGTCATCGGGTCCAAAAATCCTTAAAAAATCGATCACGTGATCAGTGGACGCTTCCTAACTTAGTTAAGTTCATTGCATTTCTTTACGTTTTAGAGGTTTCTGAACATTTTGGTATACCTCAGAAAAAATGTATGTCTGGAACAATTTTTCGTAGACGATTTCGGGCGCACGGATCGAGCGATTTGAATGGTTCAAAAAACATTCAATTCCTATTGATAGGAACATGTGCTGATTAGTTTTTGGCAAAGGCAGGTCCAGCCGTTACGGAGATATGAAGCAAAGAACGCATAAAATAGAAATCTAGTTTTTGAGGGAACGGAGCATCCGATTCGAATGATTCAAATTTATTTGCTAGTATTGACGAAACGATCGTTTTGGGAAAAAACAAAAGAAATTTGTGTATGTTTTAAATTTCCAATAATTTTTCTTTTTAGTATCGATAATAATTCGCATTTAACTTTAATTCACGCTAAAGTTCTAAACATCACTTATATAATTGAAATAAATAACTTTAACTCTGCACTACACTTAATATAATTTTTATAAATATGAGAAGGTCCTTCGATCTAACTCCTATTGATTAAGTTTTACTTATTCAATTTTTATGTAAACATATATGAACGTTGTCGTCCAATTTATTAGCTTCTATATTTTGTCTATAAAATAAGAATGTTGAAAGTTACAGTATTGGTAATAATTTATTTGAAAACATTTAATATTTCTCGTACATTTCGTTACGGTACGGTACGGGAAGTTCCAGCAACTAGCCTTAAGGCACGATGCCATAATCACTAGTTTATGATTATTTGTGTGAGTTTGTTAATAGAAAAATTCCAATTTTGGGGGTCTTAAATTATTATTAATTGGAGCGCCCAGTAGGCGTTGGGGAATATTTATATTGACAATTATTCTATTAGAGTCCCCATGACTAATGTTGACTGAAATTGAGTGTGAGTTTATTTTGCACACGTGAGAAAATATATACAAAACTAATAATAACCAATTGACGAATGATGTATGAATGGAAACTCCTCCTGCACGGTTATTCGAATTTTGATCTTTTCGAAGTCTTTTTGACGTTTGTTAAGGAAAATTTTAAGGATTTAAATGATTTTAACAGAGCTGTCACTTGCGAGAAAAGTCATTTTACTTGAAATTTGAATATAAGTTAAATAATGAGCCTGGATATTATTAGAATATAATATATTCATGATTATGAATAAAAAAATGTAATGTCTTCATTATTATTGCGGAAAAGCAGCTGAGATGTGCCAGAAATTAAAATAATCTAATTTTAATAAGATACAGTTTATGCATGGCATTATATAATTCAGTGTGTCAGATTTTTTTTTAACTAATGCATTTCATATTTTGCCTTACTTTACTAGATGATTTCACAATACAAAAAAATATTTATAAGTTTCATTATGTCAAAAATTCATTTGTTTGACGTTGGATATGGAATATTTAGTTAGTTGATCGTAAATCCAATAGTGCACATATGAATAGAATTTGACAAATTAATGCACTTAAAATATTTATTTAAGTAATATTGTATTACAAGTTATTAGTTAGAAAAACGTAATTAATATATTATAATTACTAAAAACAAATTGATATATGATACAAGATCATAAATATTATAGGCAACATTATGGTAGCAATTATTTTGGGTGGAAAAATATAATTCTTTCTGAATTTGTTATAATGTTTAAAAGACTGCAATTTTCAAGACATATGTCTTATGTTAAGACCATAAATGAATTAAAAGACAGGATATTATAAAGTTTATTAAAAATTGTTGGAGTTTTTTAGTGTAGACGTAGGTACAGGACAACGTCTGCCGGGTCATCTAGTATAATATATATATATATATATATAATATATATATATAAGCAAAGCTTTATGGAAAAAAATTATTTTGTCAATACGTATAATTTTATCCCATCATCAGTGAATATATAAGTACAGTTACAATCAGCATTATAAGATGCATTAATTAAAATTAATGCAAAATTTGTTAGTAACTGTGGATTAATAGTTTTTTTCCTCTTATGTTGATTTTTAAAATTCAACCACTTATCGTATGCAACTACGCAAAGTTTTATTAAATTTTCAAGTATACTTTTATCAATTAAGTACAAAAAAAAAACGGTCTGGCCGATCTTTGGTATTTTTTAATTTTACTACTTTAAGTTTCATATTTATTATTAATATTAATTAATAATAATTTCACTTACCGTATGAGCTAAACCTTCACGCATCATTTTGACTCTTACAAAAAAAATCTCACTTCACAAGATACTTTATATAACAAATTTTATCACAGGCTATTTTTATTTGGAAACTATTATATTATCTATAACATATAATAATTATTTTATAATTATATTTTTTATATCTTTTTTGGTTTATTTTGAAACGAACTTAAACTTAAACTTGAAATTGGGCAAACAAATTTGTCCCACACCGAGAACGAGATGTTCTTTGCGGGAGTTCCTATTCGTGACTGACGTTATATCATTTGACTTTGCCAAGAAATGATCAGTTCAGTCGGTCGGTCGGATGTTTATTTGGCAAATTCGGATGATTAGTCAAATATATATATATATATATATATATATAATTAATATTTCTTGGATTTTTTAATAAATTGCTAAGGGTTTCTTTTCGGAATAATTAATCCAATAAATAAAAAACAATAAGTTTCTCTTCAGATGTTTAATTACGACGTTTAGAGAAATCTTATCCGCGCTCGAATTCGACAAGAAGAAAAATGACGAGCGAATTAAAACTAACAAAGAAACAGTTCAATTGCAATGTAATTGGCCTGTTACCATCAAAGTTTATTAATTTTCCGTAGGGTCAGTTATAGTTATCGCTAAAAAAATCGAAAATTATCTATTTTTTCAAAAAAAATCTATTTATAATTGAGAAAATTTTAATAAGCAAGAAAAACAAATTTTACGAATTACACAAGAGAGAAAAAGCAATATTGCTGGCGAGCAACATTCAATATGAAATGACACGAGGAAGAACAAGCTCTACTAAAGAGCAAAATTAGAAAAATAAAATTTCCCATATGTTCAAAATAAAATTTTTATTAGACATTTTTTATCATACAAATACAATTTAATCTAAAGTAAACTATCATTGATGGCCAAGGTTGGCAAAAGCCATCTGCCAAAAAACAACAACCCACGCCAACAAACTCATCAAAATTCTTGAATCAATTTCACCGGCCGAAGAAAACATTACATCATCTTCATCTTCAGTTTTTCTTGGATTTTTTAAAGATTTTCTTCGGTCTTTGTTAAACTGCAAAGAGTGCACCATCCTTCCATCAGCTGATAAAAAACAAATTACAAATAATTACATTAGTAATTTAATTCTCAGATTTTATATTTAATTTATATTTATAATATTTATATTTAGTTTTTGTATTTATATATACAAACAATACTATAGTGGATAAAAAAATTAAAATAAACAATTAAAAGATTACCACAAGAAAATGTCTATCTATTTGCTGTATTTTATATAAAAACAAGTCCGGGGGCATGTTCGAGGATTCTGTTATCTAAACATTCTTTCTTGATTTGTTTATATGTAAAATAATCCTAATCGCACGGCAAATAGATAGACATTTTTACAGTTTTCATTATCAATAAACAAGCATAAGATAACGCTATGTTATGAGCTGTGTTACGGCAAAATTGCCCGATTAATCAAAGGAGTTGCTGATCTATATATAGTACAGCGGAACAAATATGAGTAAAGAAGTTTCACTTCAAATGGCGGCATGTGGGATATCAAACGAAAGGTCTCAAAGAGCTATCGAAATATTGTAATGAAAAAATTTCATTTAAAAAAAATGAACTCTACTAACGAGCAAAATTTTATTAAAAAAAGTAAAGAAACTCTGCAGAGGAGAAAAATTTTATTAAATGAAATAAATATAAAGACAAAAGAGACTCTACTGACGAGCAAATTGCAAATAAAAGACAAAAGGGACAAAGGGTCAGTAGAGTCACTTTTGTAGTTAATTTCATTTTTAATATTCGTTTTGCTCGTCTGTAGAGTACTTTTTAATTTTACTTTGTTTGTCAGTAGAGTCCTTTCTCTATTTTAGTTTGTTTGTCAGTAGAGTCCCTTCACATTTTAATAATTTGTCCATCAAATTTTGTTAGTCAGTAGAGTTTTTTCCTTATTAAATCTTGTTCGTTAGTAGAGTCCTTTTTTCATAAAATTTTGCACATGAGTAGAGTTCCATTTTATTAGATTTCGCTCGTGCAGTAAAGTTCCATTTTATTTAAATTCTGACGAATAAAATTTTACTCGTCAGTAGTTTTTTTTATATAAAATTTTTCTCCTCTGTAGAGTTTCTTTATTTTTTTTTTAACAAAATTTCGCTCGTTGGTAGAGTTTATTTTTTAAAATGAAATTTTGTTGTAGAGTCCTTTTATTTTTTAATTTTACTTTGCTTGTCAGTAGCGTCCTTTTGGCTTTTAATTTTAATTTGCTCATCAGTAGAGTCCTTTTATATTTTAATAAATTGCTCGTCAGTATAGTCTTTTTTGTTTTAATTTTTTGGCTTGTAATTTTAATTTGCTTGTCAGTAGAGTCTTTTTTGTTACATTTTAGTTTAATTTTTAGTAGTCTGTAGAGTCCTTTCTTTATTGTAGTTTGCTTGTTATTAGAGTCCTTTTATGTTTTAATAATTTGCTCGTCAGTAGAGTCCTTTTATCTTTCAATTTTAATTTGGTCGTCAGTAGAATTCTTTTATATTTCAATAATTTTAAAATAATTTGCTCGTCAATAAAGTACTTTTATCCTTTAATTTTAATCTGATCGTCAGTAGAGTCTTTTTAATTTTAGTTTTAGTTTGCTCGTCAGTAGGGTCTTTTTTAATTTTAGTTTGCTCGTCAGTAGAGTCATATCGCTTTTTAATTTTACTTTGCTCGTCAGTACAGTTACTCTTGTTTATAATTTGAGTTTGCTCGTCAGTAGGGTCCTTCTTAGCAGAGTCCTTTTAGCTTCTAGTCTCTTTTATTTTGCTTACTGGTACAGTTCCTTTTATCTTTTAATTTTAGTTCGCTCGTCAGTACAGTTCCTTTTCATCATAATTTTAGTTTACTCGTCAGTAGAGTCCTTTCATGTTTTATTATTAATTCGCTCGTCAGTAGAGTCCCTTTGGGTTACATTATCATTGGCAAAAGTTTATCAAATTTACCTTGTTGGCATAGTCCTGGGGGTTCCACCTGGCATTCGGTACCGAAGGGACAATTAGAACAAGGTGGGCCCTTTTCGTAAACAGCATGTCCTGGCACGTTGCCTGCTGGTCCGTAGTTGCACACCAAGTGTTGCCTGATGACGATATAGAAAATAGTATTGCCTTATGTGTCTTAAAACTTTTTTCTTTATTTTGGAAGAGGATTTTCTTTATCATTAAATATTAGTTAGAAATGCAGTTTATTAATTAAAGAAAAAAAAATAAATGCAGTTTATTAAAAACTTAATAGTTTTGAAAATTCAGAGTTTGTTGAAAATTTTGGTTCTCTCGATACTTTGAAAGTTCAAAATGTTCCGAAATATTTGATTCTTCTCAAAATGTGCGAATCCTAAATTTTTTGTGTCGTTTTTTCCTTATGGCAAAATACTAATTCCGACTCATTAACTTATATATGTATACAAATTCAAACCCCGTTAGAACGATTTTCATTTTCAAGGATGACCTGACAAAAAACGCTTCTTAAGCGTGAAGCGTATTAAGTGGTACAGGAACAATTTGTATCAAACTTGTTCGTCTTAACGGGGTTAATAAAGACCTGTAAATCAAATCGCCGTCCTTTATAATCTGAAACATGGCCCTTGCACAGCCCAATTGATAAGTCTCGGCCCAAACGATTTGGGTATAATGGCTGGACGAACTGAAACTGCAGAAAAAAAATTGTATTATATTTAAAAAGCTAACTAGCAAAATGTAATTAATAAATATATTAACTAAAATAGTTGAAATTAACTAAAACTGAAAATGAAATTCTTAAAAAATAATTAATGTTAGGATCAATTAGTTGCCTAAAAATGGTTATATAGTAGAAGAACAAAAAGAAACTTTGGAAAGCAGGAAAGTGTCGGTGTAATATGAAGACAATGTATAAATAATTTTTGTTTGATTAATTTATAGTAAATAATTTATTAATAGCCTGTAGAGTAGGTGCCAAAAAATCGAAAATTATCATATCATTACTTTAACACTTTAGCATATCTTACAATTAGAAAAAATGGATTTTTGTATGTGGGTGAATGGATGTGTCGGATACAAATTTTCATTGACAATTTCAAGAGAACAGTTTAACCTGTTGATAAGAAGACGTGCTGACTAGTTTTTGTCAAAGGCAGGTCCATCCGTTTAGGAAATCCAATAAATAAAGTAAAAAAATGCCATTTGGCGGTCAAAAATAATCATTAGACATATGTACATCAAATAATCAGGTATTTTATTGAGGTTTTAATAATAAGTATGAATTTTGTTTGTATTTTTATAAAGTTCAAAATATTCAAAAAAATTCAATATTTTCAAAAATCTTTTTTCAGTCAAAATTTTTAAATTTTTTTTAAAAAAACAAATTTTAGGTACGGAAGTACCAGCAATTTTTTTAAGGCACCACTAGTCATTTTCGATTTGTTTGCAATTTCTATAACTTATCCTACTGGAAGTTAAAAAATAATTAATAAATAAGGTAAATAAAATAGAAATTTTGAAATAATTTAAAAAAAAGTTGCACAACTATAGTGCCGAAACGTACGGAATAAACATATTAGCGCTTTATGAGTGTCTGCTATAACTATTAAAGTAGCAATGAAAAAAGAGGCAAAGCTCCTTGTCTCTTTGTATGAATGTATGAATATAATTATATTTTTAGTTTTCAAAATTATCTTCATATAAATTATTATAAAACTTTTTAAAAGTTGAAACTGATCACGAATTACATTTACATTATTTAGAACCTAATGCGATGAGGGAGCGAAGCTTTGCTAAACACTCGCGCGCCTCTATGAACGTCTATAACAACTATGAATAAGGATGCCTGTTCTTATCTGTCTATCACTTTTTATTATAAATGGATTCTAATGACTATTTTTTTATTAACAGTGGCCAAATGGTTAATAGATTGACTAGCAGATATGGGGTACTCGGATCGAATCCTGGTCGAGTATTGCATGCAAAAGTGAATTGATATAGACTTGAAAAGTTGTGCTGAAAGAATAAAGAAAACAATCAAGGGAAAAAGAATTTCGAATAATATTTAACCTAGTGCGCAATGCTTATTTATCTATGCTAGTATGAGTGGTTTGAAACTCCGCTAGACACTCTTGCGCCTCTATGGACGTCTGCGATTATTAAACGGGAAAAAGGACATAGTTAGCTTTATTCTTATTTGTAAAAGTTATCACTATCATTATAATATATTAAAATAAAATTGTTTTTAAATAATAATAGATACTAACAATTAATTGTAGTTATAAATGTGTTTTTAATTTGTTTTTTTTTTATTACTTACAGTTTGTAAGAGTCGACACCAGACGGATCGTGCAGGTCTACCTCGTCGTACCAGGAACGAATGTAGGCGGCGTCGCTCATTCGGGCGAAGCTGCCGCGTGCGATGTTCTGGCCGACGGGAAAACGCTCTAAATAAATAATAAGTTAATAAGGTAATATTAATAATAATACAATTAATGGGACAGTAGAGTCCCTTTCTATGTTCTAGGTGTTTTTTTTAGTTTGCTCGTCAGTTATTTCGAAATTTAGTTTAATCGTCACTTGTGATCCTTTTGATATAAGTTTAGTTTGCTAGTCAGTAGAGTCCCTTTTTATCTCGTTTTATTCAGTTTGCTCGTCAGTAGAGTTTCTTTATGATCTTATTTCAGTCAGTTTGCTCGTCAGTAGAGTCCCTTTTGATCTTGTTTTAGTCAATTTGCTAGTCAGTAGAGTCCTTTTCAATTGTGTTTGAGTCAGTTTGCTTGATAGTAGAGTCCATTTTGCTTTTGCTAATTTGTTCGTCAGTACAGTCCCTTTTGTTTAATTTTGTTTCAGTCTGTTTGATCGTCAGTAGAGTCCCTTTTGATCTTGTTCTAATGTTTTTGCTTGTTGGTAGAGTCTCTTTTGATCCTGTTTTATTCATTTTACTAGTGAGATCATGTTTCAGTCAGTTTGCTCGCCAATAGAATCCCTTTTGATTTTGTTTAAGTCAATTTGCTCGTCAGTAGAGTCCCTTTTGATCCTGTTTTATTCAATTATCTTTATGATCTCATTTGAGTCAGTTTGCCTCAGTAGACTCTCTTTCAATTCTTTTAGTATGTTAGTTTTAGTATTGGTTTGTCAGTAGAGTGCGTTTTGATATGATTTTCATTTTGAAAATTTCACAAATAACAGTACGTTAAAGATTTGCTAAACCTCAAACCATATATTATTGTCAAAAAGATATTCCTATGATTTTTACAGACACTTTATTACATTCCTAATACTTTCAACAGTATAAAAGCTAACCTCCAAATTGGGCAAATGTTAAAATAATATGAGTTCGATTGTATGCCTATTTTGTATAATTGAGTCAATTCTTTACAAAAGTTTCTTTTCATTTTCTTTAATTTGATTGTCAGTAGAGTTCTTTTTGTTCTGCATTTTGAGTTTTATGTTGCTCGTCAATAAGAAGTTGGTTTTATTTCTCACGTCACAGAAGCTTCTTTTATCTTATCTTTGTTAGTTTGCTCGTCAGTACAGTTCCTTTCTAATTTCACGTTTTATACTTACCGGAATCTCTACAGAGGTCGTTCGAATAAATGCACTGCGACGCCCAACGTTCAGCAAACTGTTCCAACTCTTCGTTCCAGACCTAGATAAAATAAAATGTTAAAAGAAACTGCTCGACCGATTATCATTTATTTACAAGTCTCTTCGTATCAGAATCTTTTGGTATGAAGGAAACAAGAAGGGCGAATTGATAAGAAGGATTGAATAATTAGTAGATTGATAATAAAAGAGAGGAAAGTATAGCATTCTAGAGCCTACTCCCATGAAGTTAACCAAAAGGAACTCTACTGACGAGGAAACTTAAAACAGAGGTATATTATTATTATGATATAGAACTAAATTGCAATATTCTAGATCCTCCTCCCATGAACTAAACCATAATGATCTCTACTGACGGGGAACTTCAAACAGAGGTAAATTTATTTTACTAGAACTAAATTCCATTATATTAACAAAATTATACCAAAGGAAGTAGGAACTCTACTGACGAGCAAACAAGTGCTCTACGGACGGACTCTACTGACGAGCAAATATGGTTAGAAAAGAATTCTACTGACTAGGAAAATGAAATAAAAACAAAATAAAAAGGACTCTACTAACAAGCAAAATAATATAAAATCAAAACGAACTCTACAGGCGAAAATCCAAAGGGTCTCAACTGACGAGCAAACTAACGAAAAAAAAAATTAAAAAGGACTCTACTAATGAGCAAATTAATAATAAATTATAAAGGGACTCTACTGATAAGCAAACATGCTAAAACAAGGTTAGGACTAAATTCTACTGACGAGAAAAATGAAATAAATTAGAAGGAACTCTACTGACGAAAAAAATGAAATATAATTAAAAGGAACTCTACTGACGAGCAAACTAGATTTTGATGCAAAAAATAAATAGGACTCTACTGACGAGTAAACTAAAATTGATTGTTATATTTATAGAGATGGAAAAGAACTCTACTGACGAGCAAAATAAGAATTCTACTGACGAGGAAAATGAAATAAAATTGAAAGGAACACTACTGACAAGCAAGTTAAATTGTAACGCAAATACCAAAAAGGACTCTACTGACACTAAAACTGATTATGTTACATTTATTGAAATGAATAAGAACTTTACTGAAATCAAAAATGTAATAAAATTAAAAGGGACTCTAATGACGAACAAACAAATAAAACAAAGTTAGAAAGAAACTCTATTGACGAAAAAAATAAAATTAATTTAAAAGGGACTCTACTGACAAACAAACATGCTTAAAACAAAGTTATACAGGAATTCAACTGATGAGAAAAATGAAATAAAATTAAAAGGAACTCTACTTATGAGCAAACTAAATTTTGATGCAAAAACCAAAAAGGACTCTACTGGCAAGCAAAATAAAATAAAATTAAAAGGAACTTACTGAAAGCAAACTGACGATTAAAATGAAATGAAATTAAAAAAGGACTCTACTGACGAGTAAACTAAAATTAATTGTTACATTTATTAAGATGAAAATAAACTCTACTGACGAGCAAAATAATATAAAATTAAAGAAAACTCTACTGTCAAAAAATAAAAGAGACTCTACTAACAAGCAAACAAAGTTAGCAAAGAATTCTACTGATGACATAAAATTAAAAAGGAACTTCACTGACAAGCAAACAAGCTAACGCGAAATTAAAAAAAAACTCTACTGACGAGCAAACTAAATTTTGGTGCAAAAACCAAAAAGGACTTTACTCACGAGTAAAATTTATCATGCCGCATTTATTAAGATAAAAATAAACTCTACTAACGAGCAAAATTATATAAAATTAAAAGTAACTCTACTGACGAGCAAACAAAGCTAGAGCAAGGTTAGAAAAGAATTCTACTGACGAAACAAATAAAATTAAATTAAAAGTGACTCTACTGACAAACAAAACATGCTAAACCAAGGTTAGGAAAGAATTCTGCCGACGAGAAAAATGAAATAAGCAACTCTACTGACGAGCAAACAAGCTAATGCGGAAATTAAAAAGGAACTCTACTGACGAGCAAAATAACGAAAATAAAATTAAGAAGAAACTCTACTGACGAGCAAATTAACGAAAACAAAATTAAACAAGAACTCTACTGATGAGAAAATAATATAAGATCAAAAGCAACTTTACTGACAAATAAAATATTTAAAATTAAAAAGGACTCTACTGACAAGCAAACTGGTTAAAAAACAAACAATAGAAAAAGAAACTTGCTACTGGCGAGCAAAATAAATTAAGAACAAAAGGAACTCTACTGACGGGCAAATTGTCTCAATTAAAAAGAAACTCTACTGGCGAGTAAAATAATATAAAATTAAAAGGAAATCTACTGACAAGCAAATTAGTTAAAAGAAGATCAATAAGAACTCTACTGACGAGCAAACTATATTTTAAGTTTAGAAAAAAAAACTCTACTTAATTAGCAACCTTGAGCAATATCACAAGGGACACTACTGACGAGCAAAATTATATAAGAGGACAAAAGACCTCTACTGACTAGCAAACTAAATTACATTATATAATACTACAGAAAAAAAAGAAATTCTACTGACAAGCAAATAAATATTTTGAGATAAATAAACTTTAGATTTTGTATAAAAAAGTACTTTACATCACAAAATCAAGAGCAATGTTAGTAAATAGTCTCAAAATAATATAATAGAACGCTACTGACGAGCTAATTCTGTAAAGAATTATACAAATATTTTATTAGAGAAACAAAGAACTTCAACAAGCAAGAAATTAAAACAAAGATAAACTTCATTTTACAAAAAAAAGATCCGTACTGACGAGCAAATTCAGAAATTATTAGTAAAATATCGTAGTAGAAAAAATTACAGACTCTACTGACGAGCAAATTGATTTTTAGTAAGAAATGTAAATAGATAACTTGCCAATAGGCACAATTTTGGTTTCTTTTTTTTCCTTACCATAAATCTCATATTAGATGCCTGAGGCTGCGGCCCTGGCCGTCCCCTTTTTTCCAAACCAGAAGCGACGCGACTCCGCAGTTCGTTGTGCACCCGCAGTATGGCAGCACGCTCGCCAGCCGAGAAACGAATCGATATGTGACCGTGACAGGCAGGTCCTGGCCTCTCGTACTAAAAGGGAAAAAACTAGGTGTGAGTGGTATTTTGACACACGGCATGTGGGGTATCAAATGGAAGGTCTTGACGAGCACATTAAGAATATAATAAGCAAAAATAAATTAAATATTAATTTATTTTTTTACCGGATATTTGCACATTGTATGATCCCCACAAGTTTTCCCAATTGGATCAGTGTTCAATGAAATGCAACACAAGTTGCAATAATAATCCTGGATTTTTGTTCTGGTCGTGTTTTGCACTGGGGAACTTTCAGTGGTGGACAGGATGGAGGTTTTTGGGGGCACTACGTAAATATTTTGAGTACTTTGATAGATATCTTGGTGCTTTGTCATTGGTTTAAAAGTTTCTGTTATATTTTGACAAAAAGTCGATGGTAATAAGTTTACCAGAAGTATGATGACAATGGTAGTGATCATGTTGAATTTTATGGTGGGTTAATAGAAATTTTGGTGTCATTAATTTTGAAACTAATGACTCGTGTCAAATTATATGATTTGACACAGTTGTCAAAAATTATTTGAAAATACTTGAAAGTTTTTTTTATAAATGATAAAATTATTGTTTGGAGTTTTTGTGTGGTTTCCGCAAATTTCATTCACAAATCTTCTTCACTTCGAATTTTTTGTCTTGATTTCTTGCTTTTTACATGCTAGTTGGTAGATTTCTTTAAAATTGTACTTCTAATTCGACTTGCAAAAATGTGATAATTGTCAGACTTGTGTTATATAGTAAAGTCACATTTGTCACTTGAAGCGGACACTGAGATTGTTTTGTTTATTAAAGTAAAACTTTTAATGCGCTCCAAAAAGAAGAATTGTTTCGAAAATTTACTTATAAAAGTATAATGTGAAATTCTTCTGAATACTCTTTCTGGATCTGGAGCATCTTCATATAATATATAACAAACAGACTTTTAGCGTTTGACGACAACTTTAATGTTTTCAAAAATTTTATTTAAAATTTATTCAATTTAAATGCAACATTTAAATTTTGTTTAAAAATATCCTTTTTATTTTTAACGTGACAACATATTTACTACTACTACAAATATTATTTATTCGAAAGTTTCCAACTGTTTTGATGATCTATTTCAAAATGTTATATTTTTGGATGTGATTCAAAAATATTTTGTAAACTATAAAAAGAATATCATTCATTGATATTTATAAAACACTTACATTTGTGAGATGGTGTAAAAATTTGTGGATTTGAGAAAATGACATCAGACTACAGTGATATCATATTCTTTGCATGTAATTATAACAAAATATTTTTTTATTTGACGATATCTTTAGTAGATAGAAAAGGCTCTACCGATGACCAAACAAAAATACATTTCATTTGATGCCCCAGATGTAGATTTTTTTCTATCTTACTTATTTTTGCTTATTTAAAATATCTAATAATACTTTTTGCTTTAACAATGCAATATTTTTAATAATTTTTTCTTAATTGTGTATGTTTAATTACAAAAATATTTTGTATATTTAATCCGAATTTCTCATCATATTCTATTTGTAATTTATAATAATATTAAAAATATAATAATAAATGTTAAATTGTTATTGAAATTTTAAAAATGAAATAAATTATTGAAATAGAAATGAAATGAAATAAAAATGAATAAAAAATATTTTGGCCCATGGGGGGATCGAACCCGCGACCTTCGCGTTATTAGCACGACGCTCTAACCAACTGAGCTAATGGGCCAGCTGTTCGACTTTGTACTAATCTCGAATACTAACATCACTAGGAGAGTCTTGTAATGGAATTGTTAGAAAAACTTGTGCACTAAGGGTTATAATAAGGGAAATAATTTATATGATATTGTTTTTTTATTTAATAAATTTCAATTTAAATTTATTTTTAATGTATCGAACTTGTTGTGAAATTTCCAAATAATCGACAAAACAGATTTTAATAATATATGATATTAAATTATAGAAACTTGTACACTGAGGGTTAAAGAAAATATCAATTAGATAAATATAAATAAAACTAAAGTAGATAAAAACTATAATTTGTGTTTGTGAATGAGATAATTTATTAGCAATATAAATTATATTTATATTTAGAATTTTTGAAATAATTAAAAGTCATAAGTTTATTGTGTAATATTCAATTTGAAGCTATAATAAAATAAAATAATAAAAACTAAAATTTGTGTTTGTAAATGAGATAACTTATTAACAATATGAATTATACTGGCATTTATAATATATAAAATAATTAATAACCATGTGTTTATTATGTTATATTTAAATTGGGGTTAAAAGTTATTTAATATTTTTTATTATGTAGGGAATATGTGGGCTACGCTATAAAATAAATAAATACAAATAACACCGGAATGAAAATTCAAAATCTTTATTTTCATTTCAACTAATTATATTATATTATGGTTACTAGTCATTAATTTTTAACTTCCCGTAGCGTAAGTTATAGTAATCGCTAAAAAATCGAATATGAAAATTTTTATATATCTTTACGTTTCAGACGTTTCTGAATAATGAAAATCTAAATGGATGTATGTGTGTGTACGTGTGTATGTGTGTGCGGATACATTTTTTTCAGAGTAATTTTTTTCAAAAATGTTAATCGTTTTTTAAAAAAATAATAATTATTGGTACGGGAAGTTCCAGCAATTTGCCTTAAGGCACGATGCCATGCGACCCACTAGTTTTTCTTTCATTTTAATTCATTGTCAAATAAAAAAAAGGCTTATACAGAAAATAAAGTTATAAATGCTAATGTATTTAATAAGCTATTAATTATTTAATTTTTATTTGCAATATTATTTTGCATTTCAAGAAACGTACAACTTTGCTTTCGCCGTTTTTACTATACGAGTCCTTTACAATAGTGGCGGAAGCAAAGTTGTACATATAAAAGCGTTTTTAGAGTACACCGAGTTGGTGTAGAGCATTATGATATCAGACAATATTGTTTATAATTTAATTTTGCATAAATTTGCCGAAGGCATTACTCATATTAAACAAATGGTTTGGAAGTTACAAGCGACGAAACCAAACAAAATTTTTTGTGTTCAATATCACTAGTACAACTTTGCTTCCGCCGTTTTTACTATACAAATCCTTTGCAATAATGGCGTAAGCAAAGTTGTACATTTAAAAGCGATTTTAGAGTATACCGAGTTGCTGTAGGGCATTATGATGTTAGATAATATTGTTTCTAATTTAATTTTGCACAAATTTGCCGAAGGCATCATTCATATTAAACGAATGGTTTGAAAGTTACAAGCGTCTAAACAAAACAAAATTGTTTGTGCTCAATATTACAAGTACAACTTTGCTTTCGCCGTTTTTACTATGCGAGCCCTTTACAATAATGGCGTAAGCAAAGTTGTATATCTAAAAGCGTTTTTAGAGTATACCGAGTTGCTACAGGGCATTTTGATATTAAACAATATTCTGAGTTATTTAATTTCGCATAAATTTGCTGAAGGCTTCATTCATATCAAACAAATGGTTTAGAAGTTACAAGCAATAGAACAAATTAATGTACCAAGTATACTAAATTCCATACCAAGATGTAACTTCACACGCTATGAAAATAATTTTTAAAAAATATAGTTTGTATGAAAACTAGTATATTTCGTATACATTGCATTTCAAAAGCGATTTTAAACTATACCGAGTTGCTTTAGACCAGTACACTCTTATAAACATTTATTTGTTTACTTATTTAACACCCAAGGCAATAATACAGTATAATTACATTTTAAAGTATACAAATTATAAACTAAATATAATATGTATTGAGTATTAAGAGTTCGAGGCTTTATATTTATATACATAACACTTAAAATAAACTACAAATATTTATTTAATTTATATATCATATAATTCTGTATAAAATTGTCTTAAACATCATTCATATTAAACAAATAGTTTTAAAGTTATTCACAAAAAAGATAGCTTTGTATTTATATACATAACACTTAAAATAAACTACAAATATTTATTTAATTTCATTTATATGTCATATAATTCTGTATAAACTTGTCTTATACATCATCCAAATTAAACAAATAGTTTTAAAGTTATTCACAAAACAAACTATAAACTTCATAATCATACTTTTGAATTTACGCGCCGTTAACACGTAACCAACTTCACACCGTTTGCGTGTCCTTCTACAAACTGTCAACTTGACAGATGACGCTTGATAATTTTTGGTTATTCTAAATAAATATATTTAAATACGAAATGCTGAGCAAATAGTAATATAATAATATAATATTTAATGTTTTAATAATAAATTACACAATGGAACAACTAAATAACGCTTTAAAAGCCATAAAAGTGCTCGGATTCGAGTGTCGGACATGTTTTTGAGACTTAAATTTAAATTAAAGATAGCTTTGTATTTATATACATAACACTTAAAATAAACTACAAATATTTATTTAATTTATATATCATATAATTCTGTATAAACTCGCCTTACACATCATTTATATTAAACGAATAGTTTTAAAGTTATTCACAAAACAAAGTATAAACTACAAAATCATACTTTTGAATTTACGCGCCGTTAACCCGTAACCAACTTCACACCATTCGCGTCTCCTTCTACAAACTGCAAACTGTCAACTTGACAGATGACGCTTGTGAATTTTTGGTTATTCTAAATAAATATATTTAAATACGAAATGCTGAGCAAATAGTAATATAATAACAATTTATTTTATGTTTTATTAATAAATTACACAATGGAACAACTAAATAACGCTTTAAAAGCCATAAAAGTGCTCCGTTCGAGTGTCGGACATGTTTTTGAGACTTTGTCAGAAGGTTTAAGAACTGAACATGGACAAGATACTAAAGACACAAAGTTTTTGATTGAATTACAAGAATTGCTGAGTGCTGTTAATGTTAACTTGAGGTAAAAGTCATATCTAAAAGTAACTGGAACATATGTAATGTCTTAAATTATAATAAAAATGTTTTAAATCATTTTTTGTGTTCATAACCTACAAAATTTCTTTCTTTTTCAACAGAGAGGTAGAGACTTCAGTGAATAGTTTAAATGCGCCCCCCGGGCCATTCAATTTAGCAAACACTACTTATTTAAGTCAAGAGACTACACAGGAGAGACAGGCTTTGTACTCGCAGCTTGTTAATAGTTATAAGTGGACCGATAAGGTATATAGAAAGAATTATTTATATCGATATGTATATATATATATATATATATATATATATATATAGACATGTATGTATGTATGTATGTATATATATATATATATATATATATTGTTTTTTTATAGATTCATGAGTACAGTGCCCTAGCACAGTCTTTATTAAGTCAAAATGCTTTGAAAAGGTCATATATTAATTCAAGCAGTGCGAAAAGACGGAGGACACAAACTAGTCTTCACAATGTGCCACCGCAGTAAGTTTATATGTTTATTTGTATATGTATATATATATATATATATATATATATATATTAAAATATTTCTTTCTCTACAAAAATGTTATTATCAAATGACCATTTATTGTATTGTATTGTATGAATATAATAACATTTATTGATGAAACTTTGCACGGTGATAAAGTTGTTAGTAGAAAGTAATATGTTAAAATATTATAGGCTTGTGAGAAGTGGTTTAATTTTAAAAATTGACATAATAATGGGTTTGTGTAGACTTTGTATATATTTCTTTAGTAATTTTTTTTACAAAAACGTAAATATTACAAATATTTCTAAGAACACTTATCAATTTTAGTATTTGATGTTATATTAGATATTTTAAAGTATAACTTTCTAAAATTACAACTTTTTACAACTGAAATTATTTTTAAAAAATAATTTTTCTATGAATTTCTTATAATATTCTTTACAAAGTTTGTTGTACATTTTTTATTAAAAATGTAAATATTACAAAAATAGTTAGTTTTTCTAAAAATGTTTAAGGTGGTCTAAAAATGTTCTAGATTTTTTATAAAAAATTCTGCTTGGTCGAAAAACGCTCTTGATTTTTTATTATTGTTTTAGATTGTCTAAAATTGTTCTGAATATTTTAAAAATGTTTTTAATAGCATTTCAAATTTTCCACATGGTTTATAAACGTTCTATATTTTCTAAAAATATTTTACATGATCTAAAAAAGTTCTCAATTATTTGAAAATATTTTTAAATTTTATAAAAAATTTCTAGATGGTGTAAAATTTTTTTAGATTTTCTAAAAATGTTTTAGATATTCTAAAGATATTTTAATTTTTTTAAAAATACTCTTGATGATCTAAAAATGTTTTGGATGATTTATGAACGTTCTAAACTTTCTAAAAATGTTCTAAATTTATTATGATTATTCAGTATGATTTAAAAACGTTCTACATTTTATGATAATATTCTACGTGGTCCAAAAATGTTCTAAATTTTCTAAAAATGTTCTAGATTTTCTAAAAATATTGTACATGGTCTAAAAATGTTTTAGATTTTTCAAAAATGTTTTAGATTTTTAAAAAATGTTCTACGTAGTCTAAAAATGTTCTAAATTTTCTAAAAATGTTCTAGATTTTTCTAAAATGTTCTAAATTTTCTAAAATTGTTCTAAATTTTTTTTTAAAATGTTATATTCTAAGAATGTTCTAGATTTTCTAAAATTGTTCTAAATTTTCTAAAATTATTCTACATGGTCCAATAATGTTCTAAAATTTCTTAAAATGTTCTAGATTTTCTAAAAATATTCTACATGGTCCAAAAATGTTCTAAATTTTTTAAAATTGTTCTAGATTTTTTAAAAATGTTCTATGTGTTCTAAAAATGTTCCAAATTTTCTAGAAAATGCTCTAAATTTTCTAGAAATGTTTTAAATTTTTAAAAATGTACTAAATTTTATAAAAATGCTTCAAATTTTCTAAAAATGTATTACATGGTCCAAAAATGATCTAAATTTTCTAAAATTGTTCTAGATTTTCTAAAAATCTTTCACGTGATCTAAAAATGTTCTAGATTTTCCAAAACTGTTCCAAGTTTTCTAAAAGTGTTCTAGATTTTCTAAAAATATTCTACGTGGTCGAAAAATGTTCTAAACTTTTTAAAATTGTTCTAGATTTTTTAAAAATGTTCTATGTGTTCTAAAAATGTTCCAAATTTTCTAAAAATGCTCTAAATTTTCTAGAAATGTTTTAAATTTTTAAAAATATTCTAAGTGCTCTAAAATTGTTCTAGATTTTTTAAAATTGTTCTAGATTTTTTAAAAATGTTCTATGTGTTCTAAATATGTTCCAAATTTTCTAAAAATGCTCTAAATTTTCTAGAAATGTTTTAAATGCTTAAAAATATTCTAAGTGCTCCAAAATTGTTCTAAATTTTTTAAAATTGTTCTAGATTTTTCAAAAATGTTTTACGTCTTCTAAAAATGTTCTAAATTTTCTAAAAATAATCTGCACGGTCCAAAAATCTTCTAATTTTTCTAAAAATGTTCTGGATTGTTTAAAAAATGTTCTAAGTGGTCTAAAATTGTTCTGAATTTTCTAAAAATGTTCTACATGGTCCAAAAATATTCTAAATTTTCTAAAATTGTTCTACGTAGTCTAAAAATGTTCTAAATTTTCTAAAAAATATTCTACGATGTCTAAAAATGTTCTAAATTTTCTAAAAAACTTCTACATGGTCCAAATTGTGTTATGTTCTGAATTTTCTAAAAATATATTATGTTCTAAATTTATGTTCTAAATTTTTTTTAAAAATGTTCTACGTGGTCTAAAATTGTTCTGAATTTTCTAAAAATATTCTGCACGGTCCAAAAATGTTCTTAATTTTCTAAAAATGTTCTAGATTCTTTAAAAATATTTTACGTGGCCCAAAAATGTTCTAAATTTATTAAAAATGTTCTAGATTTTTTTAAAAATGTTCTACGTGTACTAAAAATGTTCTAGATTTCCCAAAAATGTTCTAATTTTTTTAATAATGCTTTAAATTTTCTAAAAATGTTCTAAATTTTCTAATAATGTTCTACATGGTCCAAAAATGTGTGGAAGTAATTATAAATCTAAAAATATAAAATCCATTGAATGAAAATATAAACAATTTATTAATTACAAAATTTTATGATAAATAAAAATGGCAAGTTATAATGTTTTTCTCCGATGTCTAGCCTGCTTGATACCCCACAAATGTTTTAAATTTTATAAATGTTTTAGAATGTTGTAAATGTTTTAAAATTATTCTGCATGGCCCAAAAATGTTCTAAGTTTTCTAAAAATATTTTGCATGATCTGAATACGTTCTAAATTTTCTTAAAAAAAAAAATCTAGATGATCAAAAAATATTTTAGATGGTCTAAAAATGTTCTAGATTTATTTTTATAAAATCTTGATCGAGTTTTCAGAAAAAAAAATTTCAATTGTTTAAAAATGTTTTAATTTTTACGTTTTACGAATTTTGGAGCACTTTTCCATAAAAATGTAAATATTACAAAAATATCTGAGAACACTCATTGATTTTAGTATTTGTTAATATAGTAGATATATTTTAGTATAACATACTAAAATTACAACTTTCTATAGTAAACATTTTTTTTTCTTGTTGAAAGCTGAATGATGAAACACATTTGATTCTTGAAATTGTACAATTCACAATAAATATTTTTTGGCTTTTAAATGATCATATATATATATATATATATATATATATATATATATATATTTATTTATTTATAATTATTTTATTTGCAGAAACGTGGATACTTTAATAACAAGTATATCAAGAGGCTTCAATGATATGACAATAACAGTATCAAGACCATTTGCAACAAATGCAGTCCTACATGTAACATTAAATAATAATATATATTATATATATATATATATATATATAATATATTCAATTAGAAAAATAAATAATTAATATAATTGTTCAATTATTTAATTATCCTTTTAGATCCAATTAGGCCACGTCCTTCGAGGTGTAATAGCCTTTAAGAGTCTTATGATAGAATGGGTGGTCGTGAAAGGCCATGGAGAGACTTTGGATTTGTGGACTGAATCGAGACATAAAGTCTTCAGAAAAGTTACTGAAAATGCACACGCTGCTATGTTGCATTTTTATTCACCCACTTTACCTGATTTGGCTGTTAAATCGTTCATGGTAATAATAATCACAATTATTATTATAAAAAGAATAATATAATTGTGTTTATTTTTTTTATACTATACAAGTTCTGTGTCTTTGCAATATTTGCTTTATTATTATTATTTGAAATTTGAATTTTGAATTTTAACGGTTGTTTCAAACGCGCGAACTTCACACTCGAAGTATTTTGTTCAACATTTACGTGCAGCCATTTTGTTTCAACTCGGTTTGTTATCCAATTTTATTATTTAAACGTTTTTTTGAATATTATTTTGTTCTGGGAGTTTTATATTGTTATATACAGATTTGTAGATATTTTTATTAGCTTTCCAATGATATATAATAGTATATACATGTTTAAACAAATTGTTAAAGAAATTTACCGGAATATGAAAAATGTAACCTGCCGACATATTGGTTTACCAAAATGGCGTCGTACGACTCAGTATTCAATTGTAAAGATTAAACAATTTTTTTAATATTATTTTGTTTGAAACGGTTTAAATTGTTATATACAGATTTGTGGATAATTTTATTACCTTTTTAATGATATATAATAATGTATAGGCGTTAGAACAAATTTAAACAATTAAAACGTAAATCTAAAAAATGTAACCGAATGAAAAAACAATTCCTTATATCTATAAGCAACTAAATGTTCACTTTCAAAGTTTCAAAGTTTTTTTTAAATTAATTTTGTTATAAACAATGTATATTGTTATAATCAGATTTAAAGATAATTTTATTAGCTTTCTAATTTCATCCTTAATTTTGATAGATTTTTTGTTATCTCGTAAGTAGAGATATTTCTAAATTAAAAATCTCTAGTATGAATCGCACAGAGTGTTAGTCAGTAGAGTCGCTTTTTTAATTTTATTTTTAGTTTGCTCGTCAGTAGAGTTCTTTCTTTAAAATTCAATTTCAAAATTTCTTTAAATTTCAATTAGCTTGCCAGTAGAGTCCTTTCTTTATATTTTTAATTTGCTCGACAGTAGAGTCCTTCTCTATTCATTTTTTAGTTTCTTTTTTATTTATTTTTGTGTGTGCTTGTCAGTAGAGTCCCTGTTTTAAAATTTATTTAAAAGGATGATCAGTAGAGTCTTTTCTTTTTTGGTTTGTTATTAATTTGCTCGTTTTGCATTTTGTTAGTTAGTAGTTTTTTCCCTTTTACACTTTATCAGTAGAGTCACTCTTCCATTTATTTCAGAGTTTGCTCGGTAGTAGAGTGCCTTTTTTTATTTTTTACTTTGTTTGTCAGTAGAGTCCCTTTTACTTTTATTTTTTTAGTTTGCTTGTTAGTAGTCACTTTTTTTCATTTTTGAGTTTGCTCGTCAGTAGAGTCCCTTTTTTAAAATGCATTTCCAGCGGAGTTCATTCTTTTTTGGTTTATTTTCAATTTGCTTGATAGTAATCTCTTTTCTCTTCAATTTTGTGTTTGCTTTCCAGCGGAGTCCCTATTTCTTTTAATTTAATTTGCTCGTCAGTAGAGTCCCTTCTTTAAAATTTATTTCCAATAGGCTTTCCAGTTGAATCCTTTTTGTTTTGCTTTGTTTATAATTTGTTCGTCATTATAGTCATTATAGTCAATTTGCTCGTTTGTAGAGTCTCTTTTTCTTTACATTTTTGAGTTTGATCGTCAGTAGAGTCCTTTTCTTATATTTTATTTTGTATTTGCTCGTCAGAAAAATCCCTATTTCAAATTTATTTTTAATTCGCTCGTCAATAGAGCCGCTTTCACTTTTATTTTTGAGTTTACTGGAGAGTCTTTTCTTTTCAATTTTGAGTTTGTTCGTCAGTAGAGTCCCTTTGTTTTAATAACATGTTCTTAAATTAAAATATATCGAAATATTGATTTAATATATTGATTTTTTTTTGTTGATAATAAAATAAGATATTATTTATTAGTAATTTGAAATTCAAATCTTAACGGTCATTGTTGTAACGCGAGAACTTCACACTCAAAGCATTATGATCCTTCCTTACGTGCAGTAATTTTGTTTCTGACAAATTTAAACAAAAATAATTCTCTTTCTATTTTTATTTCTGCATTACTATTTATAATTTAGTAATTTAAGCTTAAATTATGTAATAATCACGGAATTCGAGATACCCAGCTGTAAGTAAATATTTGTATATTGACACTTAAAAGTTGTCTCAAAACCTACATATGATAGAATGATACATATGATAGGTTTTATAATAAAATGATACATATGATAGGTTTTGAGACAACTTTTAGGTGTCTACTTACTATAATGACAGGGCTTTTATATTTCTTTAACTAATCAAGACAATTTTGTTTTTTTTTTCTAGACCTGGTTCCACAGTTTTATAACCCTATTCAGTGCCCCTTGTAAAAGGTGCGGATTGCACCTGCACAGTGCCCTTCCTCCTACTTGGAGGGATTTTAGGACTTTAGAACCCTTTCATGAGGAATGTAGGATGTGATTGTGAAAACAGAATTTTGTATGAGATTATTTTGAATAAAGTTATATTGAGAGAAGAAAAGGAGATGGTAAATATTTTATTTGGTAGGATTTGATATATATATATATATATATATATATATATATATATATATGTATATATAATATCTGGCCGCGCTTTGCTGTGGCAAGGACATGTTATTTTTTTATAAACAATCCCAGTTATTCAAAAATTATGCCTTATTTTTCTGAAGGAAAAGTTTCATTTCGCCAGAAAATTCGATTTGCCTCATTATATTATTTATAGACGTTTGAGGTAGTTTTGAATCGTTTGACACCGTAATTCGAAAAAAATGAACTTTTAAAGTTCTATATATTAAATTACTGACTTTACAAAAAATGTACTTAGTGTTTGCGGGATAAATTTCATATAGATTATTTAGAAAATCATTGTTTTTCACATGGGCAGTTATACGTTGCCTGTTCACGAGTTGGAAATCAATCCGCTTTGTTTGTGTTTAACGTCGGACCAAAAAACAAAAAATATGGTTTACCAAAGAGCACTTCAATGAAACGGATAATTTGCGGATTCACTTTCATTTACTTAGAGAAGTTCAACTAAAAAACACTTCATTTTTGTAATCGAAATAAATTCATTACTGTTGTATAATAAAATCAAATTTTTCCTTTTCAAATATAAAACAAACAAAAAATTTTTTCATCTTTCTCACGAAACCATCTGGTGGCGAAACGGAGTTCGTCGGGTTTGCTAGTATATATATATATATATATATATATATATACTAGCTTTGGGCTTGCTAGTATATATATATATATATATATATATATATTTAAAAATGGAGCTCGGTATTATGTTAGGTATGCTAAAAATCAAAAACGGCTGAACCGATTTGGCCACATTGAAATATTCGTTCTAATCCAGAGGTTGTGAGAAAGGTGAGACATTATTTCAAAACCGCGTGGACACTTTATTTAAAAATTTAAGTTTTTTTTATAGAAGTGTAATGCAAAATAAAACATTGGACGGCGACTCATACGTCAAATGTTAAATGGTTTTGACAGATTATGTTCAATCAAATTTAATAGAATGCAGTAAGTAGTTTTATTTGAACACAAAGACATTATTATTAAACGGGTCGCAAGGGTTATTAGAAACTCAAAATATAAACTTTTTGAAAATTATTAGTGAAAAATACGCTTTCTGGCTTTGTGGACTGTCAAAAAGCTATGTATTTGGTGTGTGTTCAGACGTTTCCCACATAAAACCTAACCTACAAATCGTACAAAGGTTAAATAACAATTTTATCATTTTGATTGATGATACATATGTTATACAAATATTAAAATAGAACTCTACTGATGAGCAAACTGGATTTTAGAAAAATATTAAAATAGAACTCTACTGACGAGCAAACTGGATTTTGAAAAACATCAAAATATCTCTACTTGACGAGCGAACTTGATTTTGAAAAATATTAAAATAGAACTCTACTGACGAGCAAAGTGGAATCAGAAAAAATTGAACTAAAATAGTAATAGAACTCTACTGACGAGCAAATTCGATTTCAGAAAATGTAAAGTAGAACTGTACTGACGAGCAAATTATATACCAATTAACTTAAGAGAAAACGAAATCTACTGACGAGCAATATTAAAGAGAACTCTACTAACGTCCAAATTGAAAACAGTTTTAAAAATGTTTTACTAAAATCTTGATATTCAGTAGAGTGTTTTTTTTAATTAAATTTGTTTGTCAGTAGAGTCCTTGGCCTTTTATTTTTTCAGAATGCTTATCAGTAGAGTCCACATTTTTTATCTTTAGTTTTGTCATTAGTAGAGTCCTTTTTCTAATCGTCAATAAAGTCCCTTTTCGTTATATATAAGTTTGCTTGTCAGTAGAGTCTCTTTTCATTTATTTTTGAGTTTACTCGTCAATAGAGCCTCTATTTTTCATTTTTAGTTTGCTCGTCAGTAGAGTCCTCTTCCTTTTAGTTTTAACTCTTCATTCCATTTATTTTTTTGTTTGCTTGTCAATAGTCTCTATTTTAATGTTATCTTTAGTTTGCTCGTCAGTAGAGTCCCTTTGTTTAATTTTATTTCATTAATATATTATTAAATTGATATATTGATTTATAAATTTAATCATACATTTTATTTGGCACCAAATACTTAATATTTTAATAAAAAAAAATGTAATGTGTGAATTTTTAGTAATTCAAATCTTAACGTCTGTTGCAAACGCGCTAACTTCACACTCGAAGTATTTTGTAAACATTTTCGTGCAGTAATTTTGTTCGAATTGAAAATGAAGGTCGTAGTCTAATATTCATAAGAATTATATATATAAACTTAGCTAAAGTTAAAATTAAAATACAAATTATTCAAAAAAAATACACACACTCATCCATTTAGTTTCTGAGATATTCTAAAATGTTCAGAAACTTTCAAAAAGTCGAGAAATGAACTTATCCTACTGACGAGCAAATTGAATTTTTAAAAATATTAAGATAGAACTCTACTAACGAGCAAACTGGATTTTGAAAAAAATAAGAAAGAACTCTACTGACGAGCAAAGTAGATTTAAGAAAGGTAAAATGAAACTCTATGGACGAACAAACTTGAAACAATTAAAATTGAACTCTACGGACGAGCAAACTCAATTTTAGAAAAATATTAAAATAGAACTCTACTGACAAGCATACTCAATTTAAAAAAAAAAAATAGAACTCTACTGACGAACAAAATCGATTTAACAAAAATATTAAAATAAAACTCTACTCACGAGCAAACTGGATTTTGAAAAATATTAAAATAGAACTCTACTGACGAGTAAACTGGATTATGAAAAGAATCAACATAGAACTCTACTGACGAGTAAACTGAATTTTTAAAAATATTAAAATAGAACTCTGCTGACAAGCATACTCAATTTAAAAAACATTAAAAATAGAATATTCTGACGAGCAAACCCGATTTAAAAATAATTCGTTCTGTGAAGACCAGAAGCAAGCATTCTACTATAAAGAGACTCTACTGACCACCATATGAATTAAAAAGAAGAAAAGGAACTGTACTGGTGAACAAACTGATTCTTTTTTCGTAAAAGTTGTTGAAGTATTTAGTAAAATGATGTCTAGAAAAAGGAACTCTACTGACTGATTTAATGAGAAAATAGAAATGAATTCAGGCAAACTGATTATCGACGAGCAAAGTAATATTTCAGTTGATTTTCATTTATTTTATAAAAAAAAACTCTACTGACGAGGAAATTAAAAAGACACATACTAAAACGAAGACTTTACATACACAACCGTACTATCACACAGATTAATACTTTGCCTTCGACTACCTGATATAAAATTAAACGTTAATATAATATATAAATATTAACAACAATAACTATTTATCTTACGTCATGATTTCTTAATTTTAATTAAAGTTTTTCCTCCTCGAAGTCCATAAAAGTAAGAACCATAGATAAATAAACAAAGAACTATCCATAGATAAAAGAAGAGAGGAACTATCATTTCTATGTCAATCAAACAAACATGGCGTCCACATGAAGTTGGTTACAACAAAGCATAGACTAAATAACTTTTAGATACACTCTGGCGCGTAAATTCAAAATCGCTAACATATATATTAGAAAAATAATACATTTTTTATGATACAACAGGTTTATTAATCAAACAAACATGGCGTCCACATGAAGTTGGTTACAACAAAGCATAGACTAAATAACTTTTAGATACACTCTGGCGCGTAAATTCAAAATCGCTAACATATATATTAGAAAAATAATACATTTTTTATGATACAACAGGTTTATTAATCAAACAAACATGGCGTCCACATGAAGTTGGTTACAACAAAGCATAGACTAAATAACTTTTAGATACACTCTGGCGCGTAAATTCAAAATCGCTAACATATATATTAGAAAAATAATACATTTTTTATGATACAACAGGTTTATTAATCAAACAAACATGGCGTCCACATGAAGTTGGTTACAACAAAGCATAGACTAAATAACTTTTAGATACACTCTGGCGCGTAAATTCAAAATCGCTAACATATATATTAGAAAAATAATACATTTTTTATGATACAACAGGTTTATTTCCAAGCAGATATGAATATGATATGATACATGACACCCTTAACATAATACTTAACAAATCACAATTATAAAATAACAAATAATTAGGCTTGCGCCAAAAACCTTTCGAATAGTTGCCGAATATTCGGAATTCGGTCTCTGGAGTATGCCGAATATTCGGTATTAGGCAATTTGCCGAATATACTATCCGTTGCAAGCCTAATAATATAATACTATCACTTACACTTATACCTCTCTTTGCATTTAAAAAATCAATTACAAAATATCGCGAGGTCTTAACTGTTTTTTTTTTTCTCAAAACCAACGCTACTTGTACCGCCACAGTATTTCCCTTCCTGTAAAGAACTAACGAAATGTTCTAATGGATTGTGTTTCATACTATTTTATATCATTTTTAAAATCTGAAAGACTTTTATATTTTTTTCCAAATTCGTTTTGCGTAACGTTCTTTAGTATGAAGCTAACAAAGTGTGGTAGTGGTGTATCTTATTATTATTATCATTATTATTATTATTATTATTATTATTATTATTATTATTTAATCGACTTCCAACTTTCTGAAACTGCCCGACATGCCGATCATGGTCTCGTTCTCGTCGGTGGTGCTCATACCGGGTTTGTGCTTCAATGCCGAAACAGCGCCTTCGCGCTCCCTAGCACTGTACATATCTAGCCGCACTGCCATTTTATCGTTGGACAGGACCAAGTCGCGGCGAGCTTCCAGTTTCACTTTGAACAATTCTAAATAATAGAAAAATAGAAAAGGATGAATTAAGATTTTGGTGTACAACTTTGCTGCCGCCGATATTGTTATACGAATTGTTTACAATAATGGCGGAAGCAAAGTTGTGTAATTGATATGTTTTTAAGAGCGTTTTTAGAGTATACCGAGTTGCTGTAGGGTGTTATAGTGTTAGACAATATTGTTTATTATTTAATTTTGAATAAATTTGTTGAATATTCCATTCATATTAAACGAATGGTTTGGAAGTTATAAACAATAAAACATATTATTTGCTTTTAATATTACAAGTACAACTATGCTTCCGCCGTTATTACTATACGAGTTATTTGCAATAAAGGCGGAAGCAAAGTTGTATATCTAATAAGTGTTTTTAGAGTACATCGAATTGCTTTAGGGTGTTATAGTGTTAGACAATATTATTTATAATTTAATTTTACATAAGTTTGTCGAAGATATCATTCATATTAAACGAATGGTTTAGAAGTTACAGCACTTTGAACAAATAAAGGCTAATACTTTTAGTCGGTATCATTGTGATTCGTGGTATGAGAATATCTTAGTGCATTTAGACTAGTTTAGAGTATATCGAGTTGTTCTAGAGCATTATGATGTTAGACAAAGTTGTAGATAATTTAATTCTACACAAATCTGTCAAAGGTTGCTTTTGTATCAGACGAACCATTCAGAAACTATTGAAGAAAAAGTAGAAATTTATACCTCAAAACTCGTTTTTTCATTAAAAATTGGCTCTACAGAAATTGTTTTGATTTTAATGACGATTTTAAAGTATACCGAGTTGCTGTAGAGCGTTATGGTGTTAGACAATATTGTTTATAATTTAATTTTGCATAAGTTTGCCGAAGACATCATTCGTATTTAACGAATGGTTTGGAAGTTACAAGCGACTGAACAAAACCAAAATTATTTGTGCTCAATATTACATGTACAACTTTGCTTTCGCCGTTTTTACTATGAGAGTTCTTTAAATAAGCGGCAGAAGCAAAGTTGTACCCTTGATTTGAGTTTCAATTACATTTTTAGATGTGCTTTAGGGACTCTACAGACGAGCAAACTAAAATTTGTCTTAAGGATTTTAACGGACAAACTGAGAGGTGACTTATTTATTAAGAAGTGGACTCTACTGACGAGCAAAATTAACAATACGACCAGAGACAAATTTCGGTGAAAAATGTCAATAGAAGAAAAGGGACTCTACTGACGAACAAACTGAATATTGTCCCACTTTTGCTCGTCGGTAGAATCCATTTTGTCTTAGCTTCTAATTTTTGCATTATTTATTTTTTCTATTTATTTTATTTATTTATTTATCTATATAATAAGAAGTGGACTCTACTGACGAGCAAACAGAATTCGACGTTTTTTTTAAAAAAAGGGACTCTACTGACGAACAAACTGAACCTTGTCCCAGTTTTGCTCGTCAGTAGAGTCCATTTTGTCTTAGCTTCTAATTTGTATTTTTTTTTTCATTTTATTTTATTTATTTATTTTACTATATAATAAGTGAACTCTACTGACGAGCAAACTGAATTTCGACGTTTCTTTAAAAAAAGGGACTCTACTGACAAAAAATTAAATTATAAAAAATATTATAGTAATTAAATAAGTAAATAAATTATGAAAAATGTTACAATACATAAATAAAAATTAAAATCTAAGGACTCTAATAACGAGCAAAATTAGGACAGTATTTAGTTTGATTGCCAGTAGAGTTCTTTTTGGTATCCTTATGATGTTTTATTTTTTATTTTTCTCACATTTTACTTCTTTATTGAATCTAGATACTATTTGCTCTTCAGTAGAGTTCTTTTCTTGTTTTAATTATATTTGCTCGATAGTAGAGTTCTTTAAGTATTAATAAAATTAGTCATAAGGTGCATATTAATAAAATATCATCTAGAAAAAAAAAGGAGTCTACTGACGAGCAACCATTATTTACAGAAAAAAGGAACTCTACTGACGAACAAACACGATTTATAGAGAAAAAAGAACTCTATTGACGAGCAAACATGATTTCAGGAAATAAGAAAGGGAACTCTACTGACGAGCAAACGTAATTTAGAGGTAAAGAAAGGGGCTCTACTGACGAGCAAACGTAATTTAGAGGTAAAGAAGGGTCTCTTAACGAGCAAATATAATTTAGATATAAAGAAGGGACTCTACTGAAGAGCAAATACGATTTAAACGTAGAAAGCACTTCACTGACAAGCAAATAAGATTTTGAAAGAAAAAACTGACTCTACTGACGAACCAATTTAAATTGCCATAAATATATTGTCACAACTTTCTTGACGATTAATCAACATTTAATTATAAGAAGGAACTCTACTGACGAGCAAATGCGACATCAAGATAGAAAAAGAACTCAACTTACAAGCAAACACAATTTGAAAAAGTACAAAGAACTCTACTGACAAGTAAAAACGATTTAAAAAGATAAAAAGGACTTTACCGACGAGCAAGAGTGATAAAAAGGGACTCTACTAAAAAACATAATTTAGAGATAAAAAAGGGACTCTACAGACGAGCAAAGTAATTTGTAAAAAATATTTATATAAAAATATAATACGCTCGTCGGATTAAAAATTCAAAAAATGACCCAGGCTAAGCACAGTCTAATCGCCACTCTGGTACAAATCTGCTACCCAAGTGCGTTTAGACTGTTTATGTACTGGAGCACTTTTCCAATTTTGTGAAAACTATTGAATGAAAATGTGAAAATGCCGCCGGGCTAAGCACAGTATAAGTGAAAATGTCGCACAGAATTATTTGCAAATGCGTTTAGACTGTGACTATACGGGAGAACTTTTTCAATTTTGTGTAAATTATTAGACAACTATTTTTTTTTAAATTGAATTCGAAATGAAATGATGATTGTTAATGTTCTGGAGATAAATTGATTTATGATTTATGATTTACACTTAATTTGCTCGGATAAAACAAGATAGCAAAAATAATGATAGTTACATTATTTGTAATAATATATTTGAAAACGTTTAAAATTTCTCGAATATTTCATTACGGTACGGGAAGTTCCAGCAATTTGCCTTAAGGCATGATGCCATATTCCACTAGTTTTATTTTTTAACTCAAAATGTAAAAAATTTTTTCAAATAAATAATTTACATAAAGTTTGAAAATTGTTCCAGTACAGTAACAGTCTAAACACCCTTCCAAATAAATTTGTACCAGGTTGTTATTTAGACTGTGCCTAGTTTGGATCATTGTTCGATTTTTTTTTTAACTAAAAATGGCATTTCTATAATAAATTATGTAAAACTTGAAAATTGCTCCAGTACAGTAACAGTCTAAACGCACCCGCAAATATATTTGTACCGGGTTGTTACTTAGACTGTGCTTAGACCTCATCTTTTTTTTTTCAATAAATTTCTCAAAATTGGAAAAGTGCACCTGTACAGTCACATTCTAAACGCACTCATGAAAACATTTGTACAGCGTTGTCACTTAGACTGTGCGGAGTATGGTTCATTTTTCGATTTTTTAACTCAAAATGTAATTTTTATAAATAATTTACATAAAATTTGAAAAGTGCTCTGGTGAAGTAACAATCTAATCGCACTCGTGAAAACATTTGTACCAGGTTGTCACTGAGACTGTGCTTAGCTTGGATAATTTTCGTAATTTTTACTTCAAAATGGCATTTATTTATTTATTCATAAGCAAGCCGCAATCAATAATAATAAACTAATGAAAATTAGTAATATATAATATTTCTCGCCAGTAGAGTTCTTTTGTGAAACACATCACAACATTTCTTTTTAAATAGAAAATTCCGTTTTTTTTTTAATTTGCTCGTTAGTAGGGTTCCTTTTGTGTAAAATGAACATCTAATATTCTTTTTCCTGAATTTGCTCGTCAATAGAGTCCTTTAATTTTTCTTAAATGACATTTTACCAATAATCCTCCTAATTTGCTCGAGAGTAGAGTTCTTTTGTTTCAAAATTGTTTGTAATATATTTTTGTAAACGTGCTCGTCAGTAGAGTCCTTTATATTGAGTAGAGTATTGACAAAAGAATTGCTTTTGAGGATAAAAAATTCTAACTTTTTTTTTTATTTCCCATAAAAAGTTTTGTAATTTTGGATTAAAAATTCAAATAAAAAAATGACCCAAACTAAGCACAGTCTAAGCGCCACTCTTGTGCAAATGTTTACCCAAGAGCGTTTAGACTGTTTACGTACTGGAACACTTTTCCAATTTTGTGAAAACAAAACAAAAACTATTGAAAAATGTTATAATGCCGCCAAGCCAAGCACAGTATAAGTAAAAATGTCGCACAGAATTGTTTGCAAATGCGTTTAGACTGTGACTATGCGGGAGCACTTTTTCAATTTTGTGTAAATTAGGCAACTATTTTTTTTAAATTGAATTCGAACTGAAATGACGATTGTTAATGTTTATTGGAGATAAATTGATTTATGATTTACATTTGATTTGCTCAGATATAACAAACAAGATGGCAAAAATAATGAAAGTCAAACAGTATTTGTAATAATATATTTGAAAACGTTTAAAATTTCTTGAATATTTCGTTACGGTACGGGAAGTTCCAGCAATTTGCCTTGAGGCACGATGCCATACATCACTAGTTTTATTTGTTATTAAGAAGAATTAGATGCCATACACCACTAGTAAAAAATTATATTTGCTTGTCAGTAGAGTTCCTTTGCACTTTTTAAATTACATTTGCTCGTCAGAAGAGTTATTTTTTCTCTATAAATCGTGTTTGCTTGTCAGTAGAGTCCTTTTTTTAAAAATTATATTTGCTTGTCAGTTAGACGCAATTTCAAGGAAAATAAGGACTCTACCGACGAGCAAATACAATTTAAAAATGGACAAAGTACTTTACTGACAACCAAACACGATTTTAGGAAACAAAAAAGGAACTCTACTGACAAGCAAACACAATATAAAATGGACAAAGTAATTTGCTCAATTTAAGAAAAAAGGACTCTACTGATGAGCTTAAAATGATCAGAAAGATAAAAAGGGACTCTACTGACGAACAAATTTGATGATGAGAAAGAGGAACTCCTCACTACATAATTTAAAGAGAGAAAAGGGACTCTACTGATGAGCAAATACAATTTAGAAAGAAAAAAAATTATATATAAAAGATATTAGCCTAAAAATGTCATGTTGTATTTTTTATTTAGATTTTGGGGTATACCGAGTTGATATAGGACAAAATGATATTAGACAATATTAGTCACTATTTAATTCTGAACAATTTTGTCTCGTACACCAACCATATTAAACGAATGGTTTTAAAGTTACAACGCATATACTAAACAAGCACTTTTACAAACTCCTACAACTACAACTGCAACTTCATTTTTAATTGCTATTTTAAAGTACACCGACTTACCCTACACCATAATAATATTAGACAATATTATACCTCATTCAATCCCCAACAAACTCTTCTTACACACCAACCATACTAAACGAATGGTTTTAAAGTTATGACACATATAATAAACAAGCACTTTTACAAACTCCTACAATTATAACTACATCATCATTTTCAATTGCTATTTTAAAGTACACCGAGTTACCCCAGACCCTTATAATATTAGACAAAATTATACCTCATTCAATCCCCAACAAACTCTTCTCACACACCAACAATACTAAACGAATGGTTTTAAAGTTATCCATTATTTACCTATCATTTCCTCCATGGGCATCGTGCCGCCGTATTCCTTCGGCAAAAGATGTTTGTCTTCGTACGCGACATCGTCCATGCTCGTGTACATGTGAACCCTCTTTCGCATCTTTTCGGGAATCAGGCTGAAGCCGAAGTCGACGGCGAACTTTAACGAAGGATGGGCGTTGATCACGTGACCCTCTTTGTGTCTCATCGGGAGAGTCCTCTGAGGGAAAAAGGATAATTGATAAATACTGTGACCACTGGACCACCACATCTCTACACTCTAAATGATAATTATTATATATTAGGAGCCAAAATAGATATGTTACGGGTCTATGTGTGTATGAGTTAATAGCAATGTTTGATGTGCGATCAGGCGTTTCACAATAAATAAAAAAGGGACTCTACTGACGAGCAACGTGAGATATAAAACTTAACATAGAAAAGAGACTCTATTAACGAGCAAAATGATTTTCTTCACAAGAAATAAAATTATAGATCAAATTATATGTTATAAAATTAAATATTACCAATTGAGACATTGTTATACAAAAGGGACTCTACTGACGAGCAAACTGAAAAAGAATACAATGTTATAAAAAAGGACTCTACTGACGAGCAAACTGAAATTCAAAATAGTGAATAGAAAAGTGACTCTACTGACTAATGTAAATTAAATTATGTTTCCACATAATTTTTTAGGTTATTCGAGGTTTGGGTTATTATTTTGCTCGTCAGTAGAGTTCTTTTTTGTGAAATATAAATAAAAAATAGAATTCTACTGACTAATTTATTAATTTGCTCGTTAGTAGAGTTCTTTTATTTGTTAATTTGAATTGTCTGATATTTGCTCGTCAGTACAGTTTATTTTTGTTTCGTAAATTGTTGTTTGCTCGTCAGTAGAGTTTTTTCCTTGTCAGTAGAGTTGTTTTTTCTTTAAATTATTGTTTGTTCATCAGTAGAGTTTCTTTTTTATTTCGTAAAATCTTGTTTACTCGTTCGCAGAGTTCATTTTTCCTCTTCAGTAGAGTTCTTTTTTTCTTTTAAATCGAGTTTATTCGTCAGTAGAGTTTTTTCCTTTAAATCAGTAGAGTCTTTTTTCTCTTGAAATCGTGTTTGCTTGTCAGTAGAGTTCTTTTTTATTTAAATTGGGTTCGATCGTAAATGGAGTTTCTTTTTTGTTTTCTAAAATCGAGTTTGCTCTTTAAAAAAGTCTTTTTTCGTTTTCCAAAAACTCGTTGCTCGTCAGTAGAGTCTTTTTCTGGATTTCTAAAGTCGAATTTGCTCGTCAAATTTCTTTAAATCTCTCAGGACGAGCAAACATGATTTAAAGAAAAAAGGAAACTCTACTGTCGAACAAACTTGATTGGTTTTAGGAAATAAAAAAGGACTCTACTGACAACTAAACTTGTTTTTGGAAAAGTAAAATAGAACTCTACTGACGTGCAATCTTAATCATGAGAAACAAAAAAAAGAAGTCTACTGACAAACAACTTCGATTGATAGATAATTTAAAGAACTCTACTGTCGAGTATACGCTATTTAAAGAAAAATAAAGGACTCTACTAAGGAGAAAACATAATTTCAAGAGAAAAATAGAATTCTACTGATGAACAAATTAGATTTAAATAAAAGAGAAACTCTACTGGCAAGCAAACTGAAAAATAAAAATCAAAAAAGAACTCTAATGACAAGCAAAGTTAAAAATGTAAAGAAAAAAAGAACTCTACTGACGAGCGATGTTAAAAATGTAAAGATAAAAAAATCTACTGACAAGGAAATTAAATAATGAAAAGAAAAAAGGACTCTACTGACGACCAAACATAATTTAAAAAGAAAATAAGGAATTCTACTGACGAGCGAGGAACACAAGAGAGAATAAGAATTCTACTGATGAATAAACTCGATTTAGAAAATGAAAAAGTAACTCTACTTTGCACGATCTTAAAAAACATAAAAAGAACTGTACTGACGAGCAATTTTGATATTAGGAAAAAAATTAATAAAAGGAATTCTACTAAGAAACAAAAACGATTTCATGAGAAAAGGAAATTCTACCTACATGCTGGCACGATTTTAGGAAAGAAACAAACTCTATTGACGATCAAACAGAATTTATAGAAGTAAAAAGTGACTCTACTGACCAGCATAAACGATTTTAGGAAACAACAGCAGAACTTCGCTGATAAACAAACAAGAGTAGTTAAATTTAACTCTACTAACGAGAAAATTGTATCTAGTTGTGAAAACGTAGTTTGTCAAAACAAAATTATTATTTAAAAAATTAGATAGCACTCTGAGCAAGAACTCTACTAAAAAGGTATCTTATTTTTCTTGGTAATCATGTATATACTGCATAATATAATGCATATTGTAACTGCATCCATTTTTGGCTTTGCTCAAAATAACTGTAAATAATTTTCAACATAATGCACACGCCCTGAAGTTGGTTTTTCTTCATTAGCCGTTGGGATTCAAAATCAAAATAATATCTTTAAGTATTTAGTATTAATTTTATTTTGGTTAGTTTTCAATAGTTGTTTTTTATTTAAATATCCATTATCTTTTATTTATTTATTTATCTCTTGCTAATATTTTTTCATTACATATTAATCTTTTTTTTTCAAAAATAACTGTAATTAATGTTGAACATAATGCACACGTCATGAAGTTGGTTTTCTTCATATACCGTTAGAATTCAAAATTAAAATATACTTTTATGTGTTATCTTTTAACTCTAACTTAAGATGCTTTTTGACTGTTTGTTACTATCAACTCATGCGAAGATAGACCCATAACATAACATCCCTATTTTATCGGAGATTTGGCTTTTTAAATAATTCATCATTAAACGATCATATTATAGAGCAAGCTATTTTTATTTAATTATATTCATATTTAATTTTATTTGACCTACTTGATTACTGAGACGAAAAAATTTGTCTAACTAAAATATGGTTATACTTTTCTTTTGTTTATAGTCATACCAAATTTTTTGCGATAAACAAAAATAGAAAACGAAAAACAGTGAGAAATACTATTTAACGTGTACCTTATCATTAAAATATTAATCATTCATCTTAAATATTTTTTTTTATTAAGATGAAAAAACATTTGCATTTTGCAAACAGCAGTTGCATTTTAAGTCATGGTTGCAAGTTTAAGCCGAATATTGTAACAATTAAGGAAAATTTAAAACATATTTTCATTACTTTTCAATAATTGTTAGGATTAGGAATGTTTTTGTGAAAAAAAATTAATAAAATAAATAAAAAATATAATTTCGCAGTCGGTAGGATTCGAACCTACGCTCCCAGAGGGAATCTGATTTCTAGTCAGACGCCTTAACCGCTCGGCCACGACTGCACATGCTCCACGTACGACTAATATCGAACACTTAGTTGCGTACGAACATTATAATAATTATAATTACTAGTTATACATGGCATCGTGCCTTAAGGCAAATTGCTGGAACTTCCCGTACCGAAAATTAATTTTTTTAACAACGATTCAAATTTTGAAGAAATTAGAACTTTGGAAATTTTGAAAAAAAATGACTTTAGTCAAACGTCGCGTTTATCATTAAAAATAATATTTTAAACAAATGAATAGTGTAATAATAATAATATTAACCTTTCGAAAAAACAAAAGGGAATTCACTGGCGTAATTAAGGGTGCGAGATAAGAAACTATTCATGCTAGCCGAATAAAATTAGAGATAAAAGAACAGTATTGGCGAATAAATAGCAACATTTAAATAACCTAGGTTTGATACTTCTATTTTGAGTAGTAATATAATTTAAACAAATTACTAATGTTACATTAGTAATGTATAATATAATATAATCGAAATTTATCACTGACAATGTCCACTACCAAACATTCGTCTAACTAGTTTCTCTCCACGTGCCGAGTATATATGAGCGTTTAACATGGAATGTTCTCGAAGCAGTCGTGGCCGAGTGGTTAAGGCGTCTGACTCGAAATCAGATTCCCTCTGGGAGCGTAGGTTCGAATCCTACCGGCTGCGAAATTATTTTTTTACTCAAATTTTTATTTAATTTAATTTTATTACTACTAGAGTTATTATTGAGACGAATAGTTTATTTAAAAAAATACTTTCCCAAAGATTCTTTCAATATTTAATAGCATTTTTATACGTTTTACTGTCAATTGCATAAAATATAATGTGTCTACTGCCATTTTAGTTTTAGGAAAAAATAACTGCATAGAATTCGAAACAAAATGCACACGCTATGAAGTTGGTTTCTTTATTAACCGTTTGAATTCGAAATTACTGATAAATTGTAATTAATGCATAAGGTTATAAAAATTTTCTTCCTCCAAAATGAAAAATGTTTTTTAGCAATATTAAAACTATTTGTGAAATATGAGAGTGTCTTATTGTTAGAATGTCGTTTTATTTCACTTTTTGATCATCCCTTTCTCCTTTTCTATCTAAATATTTCACTTTACTCGTCACCAAAGTCCTTTTATTTTACTTTGTCTGTCAGTATAGTCTTTTTATTTTACTTTGCTCGTCAGTAGAGTCCTTTTTCATTAATTTGCTCGTCAGTAGTCATTTTATTTTACTATTATTATCATTAAAAGGGTCTTTTATAACTTCTCGACGTTTTGAAGGTTTCTGAACATTTTGGCATACTTCAGAAACTAATTGGATGTGTGTTTTGTATGTCCGCATTTTTTCGTCCACGTTTTCGGGCGCACGGATCAACCGATTTGAGTTTTTGAGAGAACGGAGTATCGCATTTGAATGATCTAAAAAACATTCAATTTGTAATGATTGGGAGAAGAGGTTATTAGGTTTTGGCAAAGGCAGGTCCCGCCATTGCGGAGATACAGAGCTAAATGTGCAAAAAATGGCAGATTTCGAGTGAACTAAGCGTCCGATTTGAATGATTCAAAGAACTTTCTGCTTGTATTGACAAAACAATTACTTTTGAGGATAAAAAAATATTACATCTTTTTTTTATTTTCCACAAAATGTTTTTGTAATTTTGAATTAAAATTTCAAAAAATCACCCAGACTAAGCACAGTCTAAGCGCCACTCTGGTACAAATGTTTAGCCAAGTGCCGTTTAGACTGTTTATGTACTGGAGCACTTTTCCAATTTTGTGAAAGAAGAAAACTATTGAAAAATGTGAAAATGCCACCAGGCCAAGCACAGTATAAGTGAAAATGTCGCACAGAATTATTTGCAAATGCGTTTAGACTGTGACTATTTGGGAGCACTTTTTCAATTTTGTGTAAATTAGGCAACTATTTTGTTTTTTTGAAATAGAATTCGAAATGAAATGACGATTGTTAATGTTCTGTAGATAAATTGATTTATGATTTATGATTTACATTTGATTTGCTCACATATAACAAGATAATGCAAAAATAATGAAACAATTACAGTATTTGTAATAATATATTTGAAAAGGTTTAATATTCCTCGAATATTTCATTACGTTAGGGGAAGTTCCAGCAATTTGCCTTAAGGCACAATGCCATACACCACTAGTTATTCTTCTACCATTATCCCATAGTAAGATAACAAATTAAACAGTATTGTCTTTTATATTTGCCTTACCTCTCCGTTCTTGACGATACGTATGGCCTCCTTTGGAGTGAAAAGGGTCAAATGCGGAAAACTAACCCCAACCCCATCGGCAAAATGTACAAATCCATGAATCTGACTTTCCTCCTCCTCCATGAGGGTTTCGTAAACAATTCCGTGAATTCTGCACATGTCCTCGTTTGTGAACCGATGAGGGTTGAACCCCTAATAGAATAAGATATAAATAAAATTATATTGAAATTATGCATATATATATATATATATATATCTATTATTATTTATTATTACCTGGTCTAGCGACAATAATCCTGCGTCCTTTAGAATCGCGCTCAGGGCAAGGAAACAAGTAACTGAAAACAAAAGAGACCAGGACGTTACAACAAGGTAAAGTGTTAGTGTTACCAGATGACAATTATTAAGGAAACAAGTAACTGAAAATAATTCATTATAACAAAACAAAGTGTTAGTGTTACCAGATGATGATTGTTTTCCTTACCCGAGGTTAAGAAGTTCTTCCATGTTCGGTTTCTTGAAGTCCAAATCTCTGAAGGCTATGCCGAAGGCCTGTCTAAGGAGCAAATAGCGCTCTATGGCCTCCTGGGCCAATGGGAGGCTGAATTTTTTGAATCGGAGGAAACGCAACAGGAATACTGAATCTGCAGAAGTGGGATAAAAGATAAATTAAGGTAAATAATATATATATATATCTATATATTAATTTGGAAATATGAACAAACAACACTCTTTTTGCACTAATTTATTAAATAATAATTTTCACAAACGTTTCGAGACTAGGTTTGTCTCATCATCAGTGTGTTATAATTAAAAAAATTTTAAAATATGGAAATGTAAATTAGCATGTTGTGTTTTTCATTACACGTCGTTGCAAATTGTTGAATACACTTCACTACCTCTCGAAACATTCATTTCTGGAATAGATTTACTACTGAAGGCCTCATATTTCCAATTCATAATAAATTTTATACTATGATTAGAGGATGTCCTATGGGAAGTCCTTTAAGTCCCGTTTTAGGCAGACTTAGTACTACAAGATTTAGAGAACAGTGTGTTGAATTCTACAATTTTGCAAACCACTACTATATTTTCGATATGTCGATGACACGCTTCTATTAATTAACAAAATGATATAGAGAACATATTTCAAAAATTTAATAATTATAATTCTCATTTACAATTTACCAAGAATCAGAAAAAGATAACTCTATACATTTTCTTGATGTTCAGCTCATTAACGACGGCGGTATTTGCATTACCAATTGGGTTCAGAAAGATAGCTGGTCAGGCAGGTATATTAATTTTAATTCTTTTACACCTCTCAATATAAGATATCCACAGTTCTCAGTTTAGTAGACCATGCAATTCTTTTATCTAACCCAAATTTCATAATCACAATATCAAATTAGTCATTAACACATTACTCATGAATAGTTTCCCTTACAAAATAATCAGTCCAATAATTAAAAATAGAGTTAAATTTTTATTAGACAAACAATCAATAACCACACATTGCTCAAATCACTTGTCTGTATCAGAAAATAAATGTTTTGTGAATTTTCCATATATAGACAAAGATTTACACCTTTTTATCTAAAAGGCTTTTTAATAACATAATATTAACATATCCGTGTCACCCTTACTACAACTGCAAGACATATACACAAACATTAAAGACAATACACCTATTAAAAAAAGAAAAGATGTGGTATACAAAATAAACTGTTTGAACTGTGAGTCATCTTATATTGACAAACATGCCAAAATTTAGAAAAAAGATTAAGACAGCACGAATTACAAGCAAACAAAGTAAGAATAATACATTCAACAAAAAAGTACACTTGTAGACCACGCTATCTCTAACAGCCATAGTTTTCGATTTCAATAATCCACTCATTTTATATTATGAACAAGATTTATTAAAAGAAGTATTGCAGAATCGATGTTAATAGCCCATACAAGTAACACAGTAAATTTACGGACAGATACCAATATATTACATGATACATACCTGAATCTCATTCATACTTTGTAGCTTATATATATGTACATACACTTTTAATTATAACAATGTATAACAAATCTTATAAACAAACCATCTCATCATAGAATATTTTTCTCCTAACGACATCTATTTTTCAACTGGACCCTAATCCTTTTTTTTCCTATCTGATTGAGTGACTTACAATTTCAAGTGGTTTCAAGTAGGAGAGAATACGAATACCGAAGACATTGGTATTAAAAGAACAACGTGCAGTGAACGACGTGTAATGAAAAACACAACATGCTAATTTACATTTCCATATTTTAAAATTTTTTTAATTATAACACACTGATGATGAGACAAACCTAGTCTCGAAACGTTTGTGAAAATTATTATTTAATAAATTAGTGCAAAAAGAGTGTTGTTTGTTCATATTTCCAAATTAATATCTATTATCCACTCATAATACATTTGTAATAT